TTGGGCTTCAATAGTTCATTATACCTTTATCTCTTCACTCTAGATATTGACAGTTTTTTGGGACTTCAAAAACTGAGTGATTTTTTAATGTATGGTCTTGCCCTTGAAAAATGAACAAAACCTCTAAGATTTAGATGGAAAAGGAACTTGATACCTCTTCCATAGCAAAGAGCAAAACTAACATGTCGGTAAACACTAAAAAAACCCGTTTTTTGTTTTGTCCCTTCCCCCTCATGGGCACTTAACTACAAAACATACACTTATGTGTCAAGCATGGATTCTTTGCAAATTATAAGCATTATAGGTAAAATAAATTATATGCCAAAATTATTGATAGTTATATACATAATGAGTGAGGTGTTGGATAAATGGCTGTGCTAATTGCTAAATGGTGATTAATAATTGTTCTAAAAACAATGGAGTGTTTTATTCTAAAAAAATGTTTATAATCAACTGTATAAGTAGTGCTCTACAACTTTCCTTATTTCAACTGTTTTTTTATGACATAAAAAACTGCTTTTGGATGTCAATTTTTACTCCAGTTACACTATTGTTTTGTACAAGACACTCTATGTAATTTGTATTTTTTTTACAACTGAAGCTTCACGTGGACTTTGAATGGTTGAAGGGTTGTTCAACATGCCTACGATATATATTTAATAGAATATACTCTACGTACTGAGTTTGATAATATGTATTTCCAAATGAATATACACTACGTTACTTTTGAATTAGCCACCATTAACGTAGTGTAATGAGACTATTATTACTATATATATATATATATATATATATATATATATATATATATATATATATATAGGAAAAAGATCCTGTCCATCCGGATGGACAGGAAGCTCCGTCTGGCCGAAGCCATCAGAGTCCCTTCCCGGTTGAATTTTTTGATGAAATGTTTTTAGCATGTTCTTCATGCAGTCTAGTTTATCCATACCAAATTTCAGCTAAAAATTCAACCCGGAAGGCACTCAAATGATTTTTGGAAGATGACTGCGCTTTATATGTATATAAAGTGCGCAGTTAACTTCCAAAATTCATTTGACTTTCTTCCCGATTGAATTTTTAGCTGAAATTTAGTATGGATAAACTAGACTTCATGACGAACATGCTCAAAAAATTTCATCAAAAAATTACACCGGGAAGGGCCCCAAATGGCGACGGCCGGACGGAGGATCCTGTCCCTCCGGCTGGACAGAATCATTACTCTCTCTCTCTCTCTCTATATATATATATATATATATATATATATATATATATATATATATATATATATATATAGTCCCGTTCCTATCAGGAGTTCCTGAAGAGCAGGCCCGTGCGGACAAGCCCATCAGAGGGTCTTCCCGGTGGAATTTTTTGATGAAATTTTTTGAGCATGTTCCTCATCAAGTCTAGTTTATCCATACCAAAATTCAGCTCAAAATTCGATTGAGAAGGCAGTCAAATAAATTCTGGAAACATACTGCACATTATATTTGCGCAGAATGCTCAGTATTTTTCCAGAATTTATTTGACTGCCTTCCCGATCGAATTTTGAGCTGAATTTTGGTATGGATAAACTAGACTTGATGGAGAACATGCTCAAAAAATTTCATGAAAAAATTCCACCGGGAAGACCCTCTGATGGGCTTGTCCGCACGGGCCTACTCTTCAGGAACTATGTATATGAACTGCCCTATATATATATATATATGGGAAAGATCAAGTACAAATTGTGCTTATTGTGCAAATATTTGTACGATGCACCTTAACGTTCTTTGTATTGCATATTATAGTTCAAAGTAGTGCATATTATTCAGCCATAAAATAGCAGTTGCACATTAACGTTCAATGAGTTGCACCCTAAAAAAGTTGGGTTTTATTACAAAAATGCCACCTTGCCTTTATGTCCTTTGGATCAACTCATCGGATGGTCAAGATGAGTTTGTACTTTGTAAATTAAGAAGAGTTTGTATTTGATCTCTATTCTATATATATATATATATATATATATATATATATAGGGTGTGGTTCCTGTGAGAATGATGCCCCAGGAGATAAATAAGAATATAATCTGGCCATTCATACAATCAATCCGATGGCCATAAATTTAGACACATATTACACATCACCTTAACTTATTAAGGGAAAGCATTTAATGATAGGTAATATTATTTTAATCGGAAATTGCATTAGGGGTATTTTTGTAAGGAGCTTTGCTATTAATTAAAAGCTTATACGTGTGTACATATCAACACTTTACTTTCCTTTATTACATGGCCTTTATTTAGAAACAAATAAGTGGGAACTTGGAACATTTAATTTGCATCTACACATGCACTGTAAAATAGATAAATGTTTAAATTATTTATTATTAAGTACTTGCAATTTTATTTAAGTGCATTTACACGAACCTGCAAGTGCAATCTATATATAGTTCCTATGAAATGTTTTTTGTTTATTAATTAAGTGGGTGCACTTTTACTTAAACTATATGCACTTTATATACAATGTCATTTTATACACATATTAACTTTTAAATTGCATTATATGCATTATATACACAAATTAAAAACTGTACATTGTGCACTTTTATAGCTGTAAAGGTGCATATTATTGAGTTGTACATTTATACATATTATTATGCACTTTCGACATTGATTGTTTGCACATTTTTAGCTTAAAGGTGCATCATAACTACAACTCAATAGTATGCACTTTCAAAAGTGATTGTTTGCACATTTTAGCTTTAAAGGTGCATCATAACTAAAACTCAATTGTATGCACCTTAGTTGGTTATATTAGTGCACTATTTAGTTTAGTGCACTCTTATACGGAGTATGTTTTTTATGATAGCATATATTATACACTTTTATAGGTTCTGTGAAGTGAAAGTGCATAGTTCACCTTTATATGCATTATATTTTAGTTTAGACATGTTGATTTTTTCAAGTTGGTATATATTAACAGTTGATAATTCTCATATATTCTCAAAGAAGATGACATAGTCATGATATTTACTTTTCATAGTATTTCTTTTTTAATATAAAAGTATTAAAAGTGCATAATTTGAATAATTTTAATAAAATCTGATATTTATCAAATTCAAAATATACAGTAAATCTAGAGCCAAATTAAAATCTAAATTAATAGCTATACGTAAAAAAATAGACGGATGAAATATATGATAAGGGAAAGAAATAATAAATAAATAAAATGAAAAGAAAGCAAGGTATTAATGCATATTCTATCAATGGTCAAACGCCCAAATTAAAGTAGCAGCAAGTATTATGTTATTTAGTTTTGATGGTAATTAATGCATGTATGAAATTACAAAATAGCCTCTACATATAGACACGAGTTTTTGAGAAAGAAGTGTACATCCAATGGTTGATATTGATTCTCATTTTTCTCTTAAGATGGTTTTCTCACTTGAACATATATATATATATATATATACCTTAATGGTCTCATTAATTTTGGAATGTCTAATTACGTTGTAATTAATAGCCAGAGTTACATAAATTACATTACATGTCTTAAGATTCTATTACTTGCAATCATGGCCTAAATTAATTGGACTTAATAGCAATATGTAAATTCATAATTGTACTCAATAGCAAATAGTTGAAAATTCAAGGCTTAAATATGTTTTTGGTCCCTCCAAATATGACACACTTTATTTTAGGTCCCTGTAAAATATTTTTTGGTTTTTCATCCCTGTAATATGCCCTGATTTGTTTTTTGTCCTTGTCTCATTCCAAAACCACCCTACTTAGAAAAAAAATTATTGTGAGTTGCATAAATTCACTAGCAATCTTTAAATTTATCCTTTAAAAATTTTTTTGAGGCTAATATGAGAGCTAAAATAATGTAAAACTAAATATTCACATTTTTAAAATGTATATTAAAAGTCTTTGAAAAAATAAAATCAAATACTTTTGTAATAACATGACATGGGATTATAGGAAATCTATTAGTCGGGATTAGTTTCAGATCAAACGGATGTTGATATCATCGGTGATGGACCAAAAAGAAAACTAACATAAATTGCAGGGACGAAAAACAAAAAAATAATTTTACAGGGATGTAAAACAAAATGTACTATATTTGCAGGGACTAAAAAGATATTTAAACCAAAATTCAATTTCAATTTCAAGGTTCTACTTTATTAGTAAGAAGGTAGATACTCCCAACTCCTTAATGTTAGGATGTTTGGATGTTTGGTTACGTTGTTTTGTTTTTCATTGATTTCTTTAGTGTTCGGTTACAATAATGTTTTTTACTTTTGGATCGTGGCAAGTACAAAATATGATAGGTGACGAGAATACATCGTCGATTATGATTGGCTGACAGTTGCCTAAGTCGGGATTAGCGAATCATATTGCTCCTGAGCGGGCGGTAGTTTATGAGTCTGGTCCCAGTGCGCAGGGGCGGAGCCAAGACACTGGACCAGACTGGGCCAATACAAAGAATATTTTTGGAAAAAAATTTACACGAAATTTTTTATACTAAAAATTTAGTCCTTTTTAAAATTTGGGCTAGGGCAGGGTTGGCCCTCCCCTAGCTATGTCCCTGCCAGTGCGTATGATCGAATAATGTTTTCTGGTCTTTTCCGGCCGGCCGGGTCGGGTTTGGGTCCGGTCAATCGGGTGTCAAATGACAGTCCGCTTAAATGTTAGGAATTAAACGCAATCATGCATACAAAGGACAATTAAGAAAGACACACGGGATTTGTTAACTCAGTTCGTCACTAAGGGACTATTTTCCAATCATGATCAAAAGGAGAGAGCTTGTATTTATAGAGAGTAAAACCTAAACTCAGCCAATACAGAACTCGCTGCCCACATATAAAAGGATCGACGGAATGGGTTTGGTTATATAGTACTCTCTTACACTTTATAGCCTTTGTAAATTTCCCGCTTCCTATACGTCTGCATATTTAGTGCATGAATATCCATATGCCCGCATACGCATTGTATTTTTAATCCTGCATCCGCATAGTAGTAATAATTTAAATTATTTCTATACATGAGCAACTTCAATATTTGTATTTTTTGGTTACATCGGAAGTGAAAAAACAGAAATACATTAATATCTAATACGCTCAAAACCATTAGCATCCTCCTGAAGTAAACTCTTAATCCAGACAGGTGGTTCGTGGAGTATTAAGAGACCCTTTGCTGACTCGTGAGCGGCATTAGCTAGTGAATCTGCACAATTATTTCCTTCGCGAAAAGTGTGTTGAAATTTGATAAATCTTTCATCTGCAAGAAGCTTTTGACAATCCCGAACCAACACCCCTATTCTGTTGGTGAGACTATTTTTCTTCTTAACAACTTTTAGCATACTTTCAGAATCAACTTCCACAATAACTTTATTTATATCGAGATCACAAGCTAACAATAAACCCTGTCTTAGAGCCCAAAGCTCTGATTTAAAACATTCCGTCTTTCCAATATTTAGTATAAAGCCACTCACCCATTCACCTTTGTGGTTGCGTATTAGTCCACCTGCCCCGGCTCCCTTTCTCCTTCCTCGGCTAGACCCATCACAATTTAGCTTGAAGAATCCCGATTCTGGGGGAATCCACTTAACAATTTTAGCCTCCTTCTGTTGCTTGATACTATTGAGAATGGTTATATTAGTGTATTCCTCAGCTAAAAGGTGTGCCTTCCTAACTATCCGATCCACATCAGGCTTCTTTCCCTCAAAGATCCAAGAATTTCTTGACTTCCAAACCAACCAAGCTGTATATGCAAACCTGGAAGCATGAGGTGTTCTACCCGAAGTGTCTCCTGCAGCTTTACAGTGGCTATGGACCCACTCGAGACTGGTTGGACTCATATCTCCGATTCTCGGCAAGCCCAACCCGCTTTTCCTCCAAACTGCCATGGCAAAAGGGCAGTCTCGGAGGATATGGAGCACTGTTTCCTCCTCGTTGTTACAAAGATTACAAGAAGTATCTTCAGTGATGTGTCGTTTACCTCTTTCTGCATTGGTGAGCAGTTTATTTTTCATCACAAGCCAAAGAAAACATCGTACTTTCTCGGACGTGCGTATCTTCCATAACCAGCTCCAATCTTCATTCACCTGTGACAAAGCTAACGAATCATAAGCAGATTTTACAGAAAATTCACCTGTTGATGAAGATCTCCAATACATTTCATCTGGGTAATCACTTCCCGTCGGGATAGGGACTGCTCTCACCTCCTCTACGACTTCCTCAGGGAGTAATGTCTCCAGTTTTGAGATATCCCAATCTCGGTTGCTCAGTAAAAAATCAGCCACTTTGACCTGTCGTGCAGAAGCCGCTAACGGGGAATCAAGTTCTTCATGGAGGGGTTTATCATTCACCCAAATATCGAACCAAAAGGAGATCTCTTTCCCGTCTCCCACCTGCCATCCGAGCCCATTACGAATGATGTCCTTGCTACGTAAAATATCCCGCCAAATGTGAGAGGAATCTGCTTTCCTTTCTATTTCCCAGAAAGACAAGTTTTTAACATATTTTGCCTTCATAATCAATATTTGTATGCATGTACGTGTTTAATACTTTTAGTTCAGATTCATGCGTATACATTTTTAAGTTCTCATGCATAGCACTATAGCAGATGTTGAGTGATTATCTATTTATCAATTAATTTGCTGTAAATTGAGATCCATATCTGTCGTCACTATTGCTGAAAGTTTTATCATCACTTCCACTAAGTGCTCATTCTGTTCAATAATACGTAGTATATAGGAAAAAGGGTCAAATAGACCCTTGTACAATTACTTATCGGCAAGGCCGTCAAATTAATTTGGAGGCCCCGATTCAAAATGTAAAATCAGGGCTCACATTAACATAAAATTTAAAAAAAACCTCAATCTAAATATTTAAACTCAAATCGATGGAATACTCATTAAAAGAGTTGTATTGAATACTTATCCAAATACTGATGCTCAATTGAATACTAATCCAAATACTTATACTCAAAAAGACCAACGAAAAAACGGCGAATCTATATTTTTCTTCATTACTAGCTAGCTGTATTTTACTGATTTGTATTATAATAGAACTATATAATACTAATAATTTTTTTTTAAAATGAGGCCCCATAAATCTGGGGGCCCTGTTCTGGATAACCTATTGAACCCCCTAAAAAACGGCTCTGCTTATCGGTCACTTAAACTCATATACTATAAAAATCATCATATAAGTCCATGTACTCTTAAAAATCATCATATAAGTCCATGTCAAATAAGTCCATCTACTATTACGAAAATGTCAAATAAGTCCATCATAAAAACCGAGTCAAATTGTCTTTTTTACAGGTAACCTCCCAGTATCCGATCAAAATACTTTGTGGCATCTGAGATGGCATATTTATCATTTTATTTTCTTTTTCTTTTTTTCCCTTTCTTTCTACTTGCCGCTTCCTTCTTCCCTGAGCCTTTTTCCCTGCGCTGAATTTTTCACCTTTTTTTCTCTCTCTGTCTCGTGACGGACCTATAGTATAACTAGGGTAAGCACTGGCTTCACCTCAAAAGATTCTACTAGCTTATGTGGTAGTAGCCCAAAAACAAAAAAAAAACCTTTAGACAATAGGTCACAGGATCGATTCCCACAAGGCTACAACGGAATTTTATAATTTGATACCACTTCTCAGATTATATTTTTAGCATGTGGGCCGTGCAGATGGGCTTTTTATTTTTTATTTTCTTCTCTTTGTTTCCATGTTGGACTGGACCGTAAGGTAGTAAATGGATATTTTTTTTGGTAAATAGTAAATGGATATTTAATACTTGGCCTTTACAATCCAAATTTCAATTACACACATTTAAACCCATTTATATTTTGATAGCACTTCTCAGATTATATTTTTAGCATGTGGGCCGTGCAGATGGGCTTTTTATTTTTTATTTTCTTCTCTTTGTTGCCATGTTGGACTGGACCGTAAGATAGTAAATGGATATATTTTTTGGTAAATAGTAAATGGATATTTAATACTTGGCCTTTACAATCCAAATTTCAATTACACACATTTAAACCCATTTATATTTTGATAGCACTTCTCAGATTATATTTTTAGCATGTGGGCCGTGCAGATGGGCTTTTTATTTTTTATTTTCTTCTCTTTGTTGCCATGTTGGACTGGACCGTAAGGTAGTAAATGGATATTTTTTTTGGTAAATAGTAAATGGACATTTAATACTTGGCCTTTACAATCCAAATTTCAATTACACAAATTTAAACCCATTTATATTTTGATAGCACTTCTCAGACTATATTTTTAGCATGTGGGCCGTGCAGATGGGCTTTTTATTTTTTATTTTCTTCTCTTTGTTGTCATGTTGGACTGGACCGTAAGGTAGTAAATGGATATTTTTTTGGAAAAATTGATAGTAATAATCCCAACTATTGGCGGTCCGCTTATAATAATCCCAACTATTGATTATTTTAGAATAATCCCAACTTTAGGGACCTTCCGCCAATAATGGTCCCTAAGAATAAATTCTTGTAGTTTCTAAAGTGGATGAGAAGAGATATAACAAGTAATGCCTATATATAATCCTAACTTTTAATTTTTACACTTAATTTCTATTTAAAATTCAATTTTTATAGGAGTTAAATCTAATCATGGACCATTATTAGCGGACGGTCCCTAAAGTTGGGATTATTCTGAAATAATCAATAGTTGGGATTATTTTAAGCGGACCACCAATAGTTGGGATTATTACTATCAATTTTTCCTATTTTTTTGGTAAATAGTAAATGGACATTTAATACTTGGCCTTTACAATCCAAATTTCAATTACACACATTTAAACCCATTTAAACCCCTAGCCTTCCCTTTCTTCAAAACATCATACGTATCTTCTAGCTCTCTGTCAGTTTCTGGCGATGCGATTGACTCCTTAGTGCTTAGCTTTATTTCAGGTTTTTTATTTGTCTAATATTAAATCCTTAGTAGTTAATAATTATTTTTATCGTTCGAATTATTATTGTTAACAATCAATCTATTTATCTATTATCTATGTATGAAGTTGCAATTCACATTCACTCTACTTCTCAAGGTTTTATTAGTTTCTCAAGTCCTAAATTATTAAAACAATAAAACCTTATTAATATTGTATTCTTTAATCTCTAATACTTTATCATATTTCACATATCATGAATTAATTATTTAAACAACTAACATAGTTTTACTTTTCTATGTAATTAATTTTATATTTGTAACTAGGAGGGAATCTCAATAACTAATTTTGAATTTATAAATTATTGTTTTCATTTTTCAGTTAGTATATTAATAATTTTTTTGACATATTGTATTGTTCATATTTTTAGTGGTATTTTGATTTTTACATTTTGTGTAGATAAAATGTACATGTATAATTTTTTACAGTCGCAAGGAATGAAATAATATGGAGTTTCAATTCATTCTTCAAGTGTGCCCAGGCCCGTGCCTTATTTTAGGCTGGAGAGACCCAAGCCTCAGGGCCCCAAAAAATTGAAAAAATTAGGGGCTCATAATTTTTTTAACATTACTATTATTATACTTATGTATTTTCTAAGGCCGTTGCCATTTGGGGCGGTTCCCGATGGATTTTTTTGATGAAATTTTTTGAGCAACTTCTTCATCAAGTGTAATTTATCCATACCAAATTTCAGTAAAAAATTCAACCGGAAGGCAGTCAAATGAATTTGTGAAGATAACTGCGCAATTAAACAACACATTATATTTCAGAAAATCATTTGACTGCCTTATTGGATGAATTTTTAGCTGAAATTTGGTATGGATAAACTAGACTTAATGAAGAAGATGCTCAAAAAAGTACATCAAAAAATTCCACTCGGAACCACCCTTAATGCCGATGCTCGGACAGAACCTTTTATATAAGGGGTGATTTGCACTTTTTAAGTTAGTTCGAGGGCTGATTTGTAGAGAAATTAATAGTATATATTGTTGAGGATTCCACTAAATTATGTATCTAAAACTGTTTGACGGGTTTTACTTAAATAATTTTTTAATACATTCAATGTCGTTTTGTGATAATGGAAGACTTATTGAAGGATTACGTTTTTGTGATAGTTAATCATTCAATTTTAGTGAATTTATATGATAAACAAACACTATGTATGGGGTTGATTTTATGAAGCTCGACTCAGGCCTGAGTTTAGGTAGGACCGGCACTGAGTGTGCCCATCCTTTTCTTCTTTAGCTTAATTGAATTCCGAAGATTTTGTAATCTCTTATTCAAACAGTACAAGGATTGAGATTCAATTTTATAAATAGACTAGTTTCTTAACGCGCGTTGCGCGATAAAGAAAATGCCCAAAATAATTTCTATAACTTAATGCTTTAGCTTTATTTTTGCAATGTATATAGTCTCCGCAACAAAAGTAACTTCAATCTTACTTATTTTGATTATTATATAATTCAACGTGTAAAATCAAAAGTTGCATGTTGGTGAAAAAGTTGTTTCATAAGACTCATAAGTCGAGAAACAGAATCAGCAAAGAGGCTCTTAATGACAATTTTTTCCTTAATTAATAAAAATATAAGAATCTTCTAATAATAATAAAAATAATAATAATAATAGTAATAATAATAATAGTAATAATAATAATAGTAAGAATAATAATAATAGTAAGAATAATAATAGTAAGAATAATAATAATAATAATAATAATAATAATAATAATAATAATAATAATAATAATAATAATAATAATCATAATAATAATCATAATAATAATAATAATAATAATAATAATAATAATAATAATAATAATAATAATAATAATAATAATAATAATAATAATAATAATAATAATAATAATAATAATAATAATAATAATAATAATAATAATAATAATAATAATAATAATAATAATAATAATAATAATAATAATAATAATAATAATAATAATAATAATAATAATAATAATAATAATAATAATAATAATAATAATAATAATAATAATAATAATAATAATAATAATAATAATAATAATAATAATAATAATAATAATAATAATAATAATAATAATAATAATAATAATAATAATAATAATAATAATAATAATAATAATAATAATAATAATAATAATAATAATAATAATAATAATAATAATAATAATAATAATAATAATAATAATAATAATAATAATAATAATAATAATAATAATAATAATAATAATAATAATAATAATAATAATAATAATAATAATAATAATAATAATAATAATAATAATAATAATAATAATAATAATAATAATAATAATAATAATAATAATAATAATAATAATAATAATAATAATAATAATAATAATAATAATAATAATAATAATAATAATAATAATAATAATAATAATAATAATAATAATAATAATAATAATATGCGTAGGATATTACACGATTTCTCTTTGGGACCATGACATCACATGGGTTTTTGTTAATCGGCAGTGCTACTATTTAATTTCTTTAAACTTTTTAGTTCTTATTTTTGTATTTGTGAAATTAGGGCTTATGGGTATTGATTATGGTTTGTGGGCATTAAATATGGGCATTGAACATCGACAATGAAGATTTCAATAAGTGTTGTGTGTGGGCAATGAATACATATGGTAATAGACATATTTTACATGACAGTGAAAATTGTGGAGTGATTACGACCATTATTGTAGTAACACAAAACACTAATATCATCATGAAATGCAATATAATTAATTACACGTAAAATAATAAAATTATTCAATCTAAAAAACAAAAAGTAAAAAATAAATTCATCAAGTGAATGAGAAGAGAAATAATTTTGGCGGAAGTTCAGCGATTATTACCGGATGTGCAGTAAAGTCATGCATTAATTTTGTGCATTAACGGTAATATAAAGTGCAGTAATTTTAATTGGAAAAAATTAGTGCAAAATGCACATATTTTAAATAAGGGTATTTTCGTCATTCAACATTTAAATATAAACGAATTTTCTATTTTTTTTAGATTTTTGGTCATACAAAGGTATAAAAACTAGTTAGGTCATAGATTGAGAAACTCATTGAGTTTTAGTCATATCCCGGTAAATTTCCCTATTAAAAACTACAGTATTTGAAGTAGTGCTAAAGACTAACAAAGTAAGCAGAGGCTCTTTTAAAAATAAAGTTGACGGAGACAAATGTCTAACCGTGTAAGTGTATACATATTATCAAACTTGTACAACTCTTACATTCAAGAGTACTATCATATTTAGCAAGAAGTGACACCAACATTTTTAAGTTACCTGTTATGTCCTTACCTCTATTCATGCTAATAAGATTGTAGAGGCAAGATTATAGAAAAAACTTGTACAACTCTCACATCCAAGAGTACTATCATATTTAACAAGAAGTGACACCAACATTTTTAAGTTACGTGTTATGTCCTTAATTACCTCTATTCATGCTGATAAGATTGTAGAGATATGAGCTTTTGTTATTTATTAAAGACAAATATATTTTATAGTATTTGAGAATGTGAACTATTTTATAAATTATGAGTTAAATTAAGGATAAGAGATATTGAATTTTTGGAAAAGATCAAGGATAAAAACAACTTTCGTAATTGTGGGCATCACGACAGAAATATGTGATGCTGGTCCCTTTCACGACCATTAATTGCGAAGGATTCTGATATGGAATTTTTGGAAAAGAAAGATAAAAATAAATTTTCATAATTGTGGGCATTACGAGAGAAATTTGTGGTGTCGATCTCCTTCACTACAGTTGGTTGTGAGGGGTTGGTTAGGGGCTGCTACTGCTTCCGGGGTGGAATCGGTACTATTGTGGATTATTGATTATTGATCTGACCAGCAGACATTCTTGAAGTAGCGAGTACGTACTACTGGGCTATTTGGGCGACTTACTACTCAAGGGCTTGAAATATCTTGTAGGGGGTATGCACACTACTAACATGTCAAGCGAGCAGAGCTGAGTAAGTCGAGGCCGAATGTCCCGAGTGAGCAAGCCGAGGTTGAATGCCCGAGTGAGCCAAGTTGAGTAAGCCGAGGTCGAACACCCCGAGTGAGCCGAGTTGATTAAGATGAGGTCGAACGTCCCGGGCAGGGCGAGTCGAGAAAGCCTAGGTTGTTACCCCGAGCGAGCTGAGCCGAACATGCCAAGGTCGAGCATCCCAAGGAAGTCGAGCCAAGCATGCTAAGGCCGAGCATTCATTGTGCTCGGCCTTAGCATGAATACCACTTGATATGAATACTGACATGATAATGACATTTTTGTATAGAAATAAGACATTTTTGTATAGAAATAAGACATTTTCTTATTGTGAAAATATATAATTTTTAAGGTAAAAAATGATGACAATTTTAGATTCCCATTCGTGGGAAATTAATGCAATCATCAAATTAATCTAAAATATGAGAAGAAAATAAAAAGAAAAGAAAAGTGAGAAATGATGTTGCTTTTTATACACTTAGTCTCATTAAAAATGACATCATTTGGCAAAATATAAAAAATATGGCATTACAAATACTATGATTTCAAAGTGAGATTGCCACAGTATTGTTATAAAAGTGATATTTTTTAAATTATCAATAATTTAAAAAATTAGTAGTTAGGGTATCTTAAGATTCAATATTGATAAAGTTGAAATCCGATTAGTTCTTGTTTGCAGAAATTTAACTCAAAATTTTCAAATTAGAATTTTTGTTTTGAATCTCATTGATATAAAATTATCAGAGCACCGGGAACCAGATGTGGAGAAGAAGAGGAGAAGGAAGGAACCAAATGAGAAGAAAGAGGAGGAAGAGGAGGAGGAGGAGGATGGGGAGGGTTAGGGGGAGGGGGAGGGGGAGTTGGAGGGGGAGTGGGAGGAAGATCTACCTGGCTTGACTCGAGAAATTGTAGGAGAGGTGCCCATAACACCTCCACCGTTGCCAATCATCCCTCTCCCAACCTTCTCTCGACTCAAATGGCGGCTTATCATCTCCTTCTGCTTCAATTTGATGTTAATACTTTCACAGATCGTGAGTGGGGCACTGACGATGACCCTTTGTTATCAACCCTACCTCTCTGGATGTCTGCCAATAATGGGTTGAAACTGCTGCCCAAATTGGTGTCTCCCTCGTCATCTTCACTACCAAACACCACGGCGGATTTTTGCCTCTGGAGAAATCAATCAAGATGGAGTCCACGGTGATGGAGATCGACCCAGATGGAGTCTATGTTGCAATCAATTGTGATTTAATTAGATTAAAAGTACATATGTAATCTGGAGTCCTATTTAGGGAATAATAAATTGAAAATCCTAATTTGAAACTTATGCAACATTTTAGTTGTATTTAGGGTAATTTTTTTGTTGTTGTTGTTGGATCCTGCGGCACTACATTCTTCCCTCGTGTCCTCTCTCTTGGGTAAATACGGACAACACATATTCCCCATGGCTACACCTGACCCACTTTGACACCAATAAATACATATTTTGGTTTGGATTGGAACACAATTGAGGTTAATTACCTAGAATTTTGAGTTTTCACCCTTTTGGCTGCGAACATTTTAACCCTTTGAGTAGAATAAGCTTGATATAATGAGAGATGACGTAAATAGGAGTAAATATGTTTTCAAAATTCCAAAGTAGAATTGTTATTTTTCTTCCCGAAATATAAGTTGTTATTGTCATGTTATGCATAATATTATAATTATTTTTAAAAAAATAATAACTCCTAATGATGATAAATACATTTATGTTACTTCTATTTATGAAAAAACATAACACTTCTTATTTGGGGAACTTTCCATAATATTAATCTACACAAAAAGCAAGTAATAATTATAGTATCTGTGCCTCCAAAAAAGATATTGAAAAGTCGTTGAAAATGGCGGTCTCCTTCCATTATTGAAGAAAAAGAAAGGGGAAAAGACAATTTACACACACTTCTCATCAACTTGGATTTCAGACAGGCAAAGACCATCTCTGCCTATCTCATTCGTTCCGGTATTCTGCCACCATTCTCACTGTTAATGCCAATCATTTTAAACCACGCCGCTGATCAATACATATAGACTACTTATGCGCATACTCGGCTATGGGCCACCACCCTAACAGTCACCACCACTCCACGGCGACAGATGGAGTTTCGCCGCGGGTCAACAGTCCGAGATTCTCGGGCTCCATGACCCGCCGAGCCCACTCCTTCAAGCGCTCCAATAATGTCGGCGCTAATCAGACCTCCCATAGCAGTAGCGGCACTTCTACCTCGCTGAACACCCACCACGAGATTGACCTCAATCTGAACTCGCCCAGATCTGAGGGGAATGCGAGCCCTCTTTTGGGCGACGGGTCCGAATCAGTGGTAGAGAAGAAACAAGCTCAGACCCACTTGAGTAGTGTGATCCAAAGAGTTCATTTGAGAAGAAAGATTGGATCTTTGGGTGTGGATTTGGGCTTTGGTGGATTGGAGCTCAAGGGAAAGAAGAAATTAGGGCACTTAATGTTCTTGGTCTTCTGCAGCCTGTGCTTGTTCTTGGGTCTTCTCAAGTTCTGTGCTTATGGCTGGTTTGGATCCGCTGTTGAAAAGACTGGATTGAATCAGGTTGATTCAGTTATTCTGTCTGTTAGCTGAATTGCTTTATTTTGGAGATTCAGATGTTTATATAGCATGTTGGATTTGTGATCTAATGTTAAGGAAAGTCCCTCCATGCTTGAGGGATGTTGATGACGTAAGTAGAAAGTTAACTACCCTAACTTACTAAAATTTGGTAACTTTAAAGCAAGCCAATGAGTCTTAGGTTTTTTTCTATCCATAGATGAAAGTTTACCACTTCAGGCAAATAAGGCACCGATGGTTTTTTTCCTATTTTGTAAATGACTTGTAACAACACCCTTCTTATAAAAAAATTATTTTTGTTCTCATAGACACAGCTTATATGTGAGATTTATGCAACTTTGTAAAGAGCTACCTGTTTTTTTTTCGTTTTTTTCCAACAGATAATTAGAATCTTATGGTGGCAGTACATGGCCTAATTTTTATATAACTACAATTACTTATTTCTGTATAACTATAATTACTTACATATGGACTAATGGTTCATGAACACCTGTAGTATTAAATTATTAATAGTGGATCATGAAAACCAGAAACATGTAGCCTACACATTATAGAAGCATTTGATATTTCCAGGAATGAAATTTTGAGAACATTCTTGCATCTGAAGTTTAAATGAGTTTGGTTTTATTGTTGAATGTTGTTATGTAGGACTTTTCAGATTCTCTTGTCAATCGCCAAACTATGAGGCATCAAGGGTCTCATGAACATTACAATGGATATTCGGCGAGATATCATGGTGAAAGAGATGGAGAGAGTGAGGTGGTGGAGCCCTTAAATATGCTAGCTTCAGGGGAGGTTCGTAGTCAAAACAAGGCAGTTGTAGGTCCTAGATCAATTTCCAAATGCGTTGGCTTCTAGATAATGCAAAAGAGTCTACTTTCTTGAAATTTTATTCATTTATTTAGTTTCAGCAAAGTTTTTTTTTAACATTTCAGTATTCAGAGATATGGTCCAAACCTAACAGTGTAAATTTCACAAAATGCATTGATCGGCCAAAAAGTCACAGAAGTAAGCTCCCAAACTGTTACAAATTCAGTCTTGATTTGAAGAAGGATTCTTCTGTGTTCCTATATCATTTGTTACTGCTTTTATTCTATTGTTATTATTATTATTATTATTATTATTATTATTATTTATTTCTGTGCAGAGCTAGATGGAAAGACAAATGGGTATATTCTGATGAATGCCAATGGTGGATTAAACCAGATGAGATTTGGGGTCTGGTTGTTATTTTTTAACAATAATGTATCATGTATGTGATTTTTATTAAATACTAATATTGTACTCCCAGATTTTTGACCTGATAAAGAAATATGTCTAGAATGCAGATCTGTGATATGGTTGCTGTGGCTAAAATCATGAAGGCAACGTTTGTACTTCCATCTCTTGATCACACTTCCTACTGGGCTGATGAGAGGTGTTGGACTTTAGTTTAATAATGAGATTATTATAGCAATAATACATAAATCAGAACTGGAAAACAAGAAACAGATTTTAACTGGTAAAAACTAAGATGTGTGCAAGTAATATGTGCCAAATGCCGCTATTAGCATATGACATATACTTACTGTAATAAGCATTTAGCTGAAGGTTTGTTTAAGAAGAGTTATGCTGCAAGTGCTCTTTTTACTACTACGGAAAGTAATTTTTGCTTATAGAGTTATCTTATGGCCATCTCGTCGATCCTGTCTTCTTATGCAGTGGCTTTAAAGATTTGTTCGACTGGCAACACTTCATTGAGAGTTTGAAGGACGATATTCACATAGTTGAGGAATTGCCGCCTGAATTTTTAGGAGTTGAACCTTTCAACAAAACACCAATATCTTGGTCAAAGGTTAAGTCCTTTGAACATAAACTTTTTACAAGAATATTGACTTGGATGTTTTGGGAAATATCATGACTGTCCCATATCATGCTCACTTCACAAGTTCACAATGGAAAATTAACCAAAGAGTGACTTATATTTAAGGAGTAAAGTATTTTAGAAGATGAAAAGTAGTCTTACTTTTACAAGGAGTTGTTTAGCTACAAAAATAAAAAATGTGCTTTCAATACAACAACATGCAATCCTTATTCCCAAAAGATTTTTTCCCAAAAGATTTTGGGGTCCGCTAACATATTACTGTGTGTAAGAGAACTAACCTTTCTGTCTAGTGTGCCTTCTGGGGCTCATAGTTGCTTACTTATTCGTGCATTTTAATGTGAATCATGGCGTCTTTACTATTTTTATTTGTTTTTTTCTCAGGTTAGTTATTACAAATCAGAGGTCCTTCCACTGCTCAAGCAGAATAAATTGATGTACTTCACTCACACTGATTCCAGGCTTGCCAACAATGGGATTCCAAATTCTATACAGAAGTTGAGATGCCGTGTAAATTACCAGGCATTAAAGTACTCTGCTGCCATTGAAGAACTTGGGAAAGCTTTTGCATCAAGATTGAGGAAAAATGGAAACCCTTATCTTGCTCTACATTTAAGGTCTGTTTTGTAGTAGTTTTTTTTAATTATCATATAAACATTTTTGCTTGTGATATATGTGTAGTTTTTGTTCAGGGCTCCTTCCTAATTAATAAAAGAATTCCTACAAATAGGAGTAAAACATGGGATATATGCAAAAATAGGAGTGAAACATGGGTCACATGCATGGATATGAGTAAAACATGGGTCATATGCACACATAGGAGTGAAACATGGGTCATATGCACACATAGGAGTGAAACATGGGTCATATGCACAAACAGGAGTATCTTTTGTGTGTGTTAAAAGTAGGGCACATCCTATCCATGAAAAGAATAAAAGAAGATCATAACTCTTTTTTTTTGGAATTTTACCTCCAATTAATTACCTTGTCTTCTTGCAGGTATGAGAAAGATATGCTTGCTTTTACAGGCTGCAGTCATAATTTGACAGCAGAAGAGGATGACGAACTTCGTACGATGAGGTATGAAGTCAGCCATTGGAAGGAAAAGGAGATTGACGGGGCAGAGAGAAGGCAGCTTGGCGGGTGTCCCTTGACCCCTAGGGAGACTGCCCTTTTGCTCAAGGGTCTTGACTTCCCTTCCACCACTACGATTTACTTGGTGGCGGGTGAAGCATATGGCAAGGGTAGCATGCAATATCTTTTCGATAACTTCCCAAATATCTTCTCTCATTCGACTCTTTCGTCAGGCCAAGAATTAAGTCCTTTCAGGAATCACCAAAACATGTTGGCTGGTCTGGACTATGTTGTTGCACTTCTGAGTGACGTTTTTCTTTATACTTATGATGGAAACATGGCAAAGGCTGTACAGGGGCATAGGCGGTTTGAGGATTTCAAGAAAACTATCAATCCTGACAGGTAATTTCCAAATCGCCTCATGTTTATCATGATTAAGTGGGAATGGTAGACTTAAATATGATTTTAAATATAATTCTAGTGTCTGCAAATATGACACTTAATGACACTTTGTTTTCGATTCGGTAAATTTGTCTTGTCATTCTAGCAATAGAAGCTGTGTTCTTTTTAGCTTTTCTCTAATTCCAAGGCAATATTCATTTTTGAGGAAAACTCATGTTGCTTGTATAGTTTTGCTCTGAACTTCCACCTCAACTTTTTACAACTACACAAATGTGTTTTAATATAGGTTCAAATGACTCTAGATATAAAGTTCAAGTGTTCTATAAAATTGAAACGATGTGAAAAAGATAGGCAGAACGCCTATTAGTCCAGA